CTGAAAGACGTATAATGATATTATAAAGTTGGATGTTCAAAGATATGCAAATCCACTTTTGCCATTTCCTTTCCAAGTGACAAAATGTACATCTCACTTTTTATTTTTCATACCCACCTCTTTGAAATAGTTCAAAATAAGAAAACTGAAAAAATATATTCCGTTAATCTGTTTCTCAAGGTATCACCTTGTGGGACCAGGAGACTCTGCAAAGTCTGAGTCTTTTGAAGACAAAAGCAAATACCTCAACTTGGAAACATCACTTAAAGCCAGTTTCATGGGGGGGGGGGAGCTTGTTGAAGTGGGTGGATCTGGCAGCTTCTTGAATGATACCAAGAAATCCATGAATCATGCTCAGCTTACTCTCCAGTAATACTACTACTAATAAAATAGTAGTAGTAGTAGTAATAAAATAATTTATTTGTACCCCGCCTATCTGGCCAGGTTTCCCCAGCCACTCTGGGCGGCTTCCAACAAAGGATTAAAAATACATTAAAATGTCAGACATTAAAATCTTCCCTAAACAGGTACTGAACCACAACTGAGTTTAAGCGTTTGACCATGAAACACCTTGGGAGAAAAAATATCTCATATCCAGAAGTATTTGCGCAAGGAACTGCCACTCATGCGGTCACTGCTGTGCTTTCTGGGGCCGAGGCTTCCTTTGTCTTTGTTTGTGAGGTTTCTGAATCTGAGAGTGTGCAGGACATACAGAGGCATCTCAAGGGAATGATTAAGAAGGTGTCAAATGTTTCAGTAGAAGCAGGAGGGTCTCTGAAATTGAATGACACTGAGAAAAAAAATGAGGAAAAGCTCAGCTGCATTTTCCATGGTGATTTCTTTCTAGATCAGAATCCAACAACCTTTCGAGATGCCATGAGAATCCATGCCACCACCACACCCCCTGCTGCTGGGGGAGAATAGGGAGAAAGCTGTGCCCATGAAGGTATGGCGCTACCCTCTCACCAAGCTGGACTCCAAAGCAGCTCAGCTGGTGCATGAGATTAGCTGACCACTGCTCCTTTGCATGGAAGATACTTTGGAGAAGTTGACCGAAATGGATGCAAGGTGCAATGATCTGATTAAGAGTCCCGCAGCCACCAACTTCCCAGAGATGAAGGAGGAAATCAAGACAATGTCTTTGTCAGCAACAGAGAGAGGTTTTCCAGAAACAACTAGTACAAATCTTGCCTTCTTTCCATGGTGGGGATAAGGAAGAAGGTGCCTTGGAGAATTTGCAAAATGCTTAGACCAGTCACCTTTTACCGTATTTTTCGCTCTATAAGACGCACCAGACCGCAAGACGCACCTAGTTTTTTGGAGGAAGAAAACAAGAAAAAAAATATTCTGATTCTCAAAAGCCAGAACAGCAAGAGGGATCACTGCGCAGTGAAAGCAGCAATCTCTCTTGCTGTTCTGGCTTCTGGGATAGCTGCACAGCCTGCATTCGCTCCATAAGACACACACACACTTCCCCCTACCTTTGTGAAGGGAAGCATTGGGAAGAAAAGGGGGGGCAGAAATCTTGTCAATCTTGGGAACCAGAGTGCTTTAGGTGCTTTATTGCAATTCTTCCAGTCATAGGTCAACAGAAGCACTGTTAGAAGAATCATCATCATCAACAACTATTATTATTTTTGTTTTATTATTTACTATTATTATTATTATTATTATTATTATTATTATTATTATTATTATTTATATTTAATAATAATAATAATAATTACCCTACCCAACAGAATATTATTATTATTATTAATAAAGTGATAAAACATCAAACATTAAAACTTCCCTAAACAAGGCTGCCTTCAGATGTCTTCTAAAAGTCATATAGTTGTTTATTTCCTTGACATCTGATGGGAGGGTGCTACCACCGAGAAGGCCCTTTGCCTGGTTCCCTATAGCTTCACTTCTTGCAGTGAGGGAACCACCAGAAGGCCCTTGGAGCTGGACCTCAGTGTCCGGGCTGAACGATGGGGGTGGAGACGCTCCCTCAGGAATACTGACATCAAACAACCATGCCCAAGCCCCCAAAGAAGGAATTAACAAAATTAAAATGCTATGTATTTATTTTAAATACTTTTATCATTCACTTTCTCTTGCTCAGTTCAAGGGGTGATAGAATTTTGGAAATGTACGGCAGGAATAAATCTAGTCCACCCCCTAAGGCATCCCAGACGGCCACCCAACCTCTCTTGAAAAACCTCCCATAATATGGATTTACTTTTTTAAAAAAATAATCTCTATATAACAACAACACTCTTATTATTTGTACCCCGCCCACCTGCCTGGGCTGCCCCAGCCACTCTGGCTTTCATTCCTGAATACCATCAGGCCAGAAGCCGAAAGCAGGACAGAGCACAATTTCGCCTCCAAAATTTGTTCTTCGGTTATTCTATCTGCTATAGCAGTCCCTATGGCTCCACCAATTAAGCTATGTCACATACCGCATAGAAAATTAAAACCCCCCCAGACCTAACCGAATGTCACCGGAACAAGACCTCCCTGACTTCAAGAGAAGTAACTTGTTTTGCCCCCCAAATGAAGTACAACATAGCATGGTGTTTCTCAAAGGAAGCTATTTCGACCAGACCGTTACTGGTTTTTGTTTACGATTTGGTCCAGCTCTATTGAACCCCTGCATGTCTGCAGATATGCAAGATGAAGGGGACTCTGCCTTGTGTTCACTCCATGTTAAAACATCAACCCTGCAATGAATTAGGGGCCACCACCTGCCGAAGGAGGGACACGGGTAGTGCTGTGGGTTAAACCACAGAGCCTAGGACTTGCTGATCAGAAGGTCGGTGGTTCAAATCCCCGCGACAGGGTGAGTTCTCGTTGCTTGGTCCCTGCTCCTGCCAACCTAGCTGTTCGAAAGCATGTCCAAGTGCAAGTAGATAAATAGGTACCGCTCTGGCGGGAAGGTAAACGGCGTTTGCGTGCGCTGCTCTGGTTCGCCAGAAGCGGCTTAGTCATGCTGGCCACATGACCCGGAAGCTGTATGCCGGCTCCCTCGGCTAATAAAGCGAGATGAGCGCCGCAACCCCAGAGCTGGTCACGACTGGACCTGCCGAAGGAGTCCAGGAGAGAAACTAATGAAACTCACAAAGTAATCAGGGTTGGCACCATCCTGGGCCCTGCTGGTCTCTCTCTCCCCTCCCTTTCTTTCTTCTTCTGTTCTTTCTTCTCTTTTCTTGTCTTTCTTTCTTTCTTTCTTTCTTTCTTTCTTTCTTTCCAGTGGGAAACCATCCAGTAGTTTATTGCTTTTATGGGTTTGTAACCTTAAAACACAAAGTAAATGTATATGGCTTCAACAGATGATAATAATAATAGCAACAATAATAATATTTTGAGAAATAAGGTAAAATATGGTCAGATATGAAGTGAGGTGAGTTGAGCGGGGCTGGGGCATGGAGAAGGGAACGGCACCTTGGGGTGCTGATTGCCTGAGGGTGGGGTGTGGCAACTCCGAAAGGCCTCAATTCTCTTCTGTCATTGGAGGGTAGAAATTGTGAGCCTCTGCACTATTCTGCAGCACCAGCAAACTCCTTTCCCTCTGCCCACCCCAAGGCTTTTTCCGTAAACCAGTGCTGTTATAGTCAGTGGCAGAATGCCTTGTCCAGCTATTCTGTGCTGGCAAACCTACTTTCGTTTTCAAGGCAGATCAAATGCTGGTCTCCAAATCCCAGTGCTGGCCTCCTAATCTAAAGCAATCCAGAAATAGGCAAATATCTGAGGAGGAGAGGTCACCGTCAGGAGCTGCTCAGGAAGCTGTTCCAAGTTGCTTCAAGCAACACTCCGTTCAGAAACAGGCCAGGCTCAACTTCCATATTATTTGTGGGTTCTGGTATATTTTAAAAAGAGGAGCCAGACATAAGTTCTATACTTTTTAATTTATTGTACTTTTTTGTTTGGTTTGCTACTAAACTTTTCACACCACTTCTGGTCTTAGTGACCTATACATTTCCATAAACAAAATAATAGAAACTGGGACATTTTTTCAGTGAGAACTCACTGGGACTCAGTTCCATCACTTCTCAGGTGAGCACCTTTGCTATTCTAAGAGAATGAGGGAGTGTTTATGGGGAGAACTTCTGGCACCTCTTTTTCTAGAAAAATAGGACTGATAAAACACATCACACATGGAAGTGCATGAGGTCGATTCCTTGGAGAAGGTGGAGGAAGCCCAGAAGCTGCACCTGAGAGCCCCTGCACCACCTGAAGGCAGTCAAGCGCTCCACAGCTGAGTTGCCCGATCCTGCTCCTACTTCCAATGAAGGAGAGTGAAAAGGGCATTTGTTTGTCACCAACAGGAAAAGGGTTCCTGGATTTATTAACTTCTCCTAATACAGAATGAGATGGGCACTGCAGGGTTGCCATATGTCCTCCTTTTCCAGGACACGTCCTCTTTTTCATGGGTAGAGAGCGATCCAGAGTTAAAAACTGGAAGTTGGCAGATGTGTTCTCTATTTTGCTCTAGAAAGGTTGTTTTTAGAGGGCTAATGGTGCCCTATATCTGGGCATGGGGAACCTCAGGCCCAGGAGCTGAAGGAAGAT